GCGTCAAATGACGATTTTAACGGAATTTGGTAATTTGCATATTTCTTTGAAATAGAAGGATGTTTTCCCAAAAAAGCTATTCAGTAGTTTTTGTCATGCCCTAGCCTATCTACCATAAGAATATGAGCGAAATCGCATTTTCGGCGACCCTTGCCGCGAAATTAGGAATTTGTCTGATTTTTACAGGCAGGCACTCTTAAAGGGTTATTGATTAGAAACATTTTAACAGTAACATCACAAATGTTTGTCTTCCTACCTTCGTATAATTTCTGTCTTCACCCGGTATTTGTCCTCCCAGCCATGCGTCTTAATAGAGCGGATTCCAGAAACTACCTCTGTCATCAAGGAAATTCGCTGGTCAGATTGCGCTGCTGTGCGCAGGCGTAGTACCGCACTAAAAGAGGACATCAAGGCGTAGTATGGTGTGAGAAAACACAAAAAGATCACGCCGATAAGAGCTTGCCAACCAATCAAATGCCAGAGCAAAAACGTCGCTACCACGGTTTTAGGCAAGGAGATAATTACTGCACTAAACCAAAGGGCTGCCTCCTCCATTCGCTGAACATCATTTGATACATGGTCAATCACGAGGCCTCTTGAAAATCTGGACAATGCACGCTTGTCGAGGAGAAGTGTCTGAAAAACGAAAAATGTTTGATTGATTTGCTTTTGCTGAAAAAAGATTTGCGTAGCTGATGCCCGCTTTCATTCTCAGCATACATCCAGCAATTCAGTCAGTCAGTCAGTCAGTCAGTCAGACGGTCAGTCAGTCAGTTAGTCAATCAGTCATTTGCTCGCTCGCTCACTGGTTTGTTCATCAATTTGATATAATAATTATAATAGTACTGAACTGAAAACATTTAGACAGTTGTCAATGTGGAACCTGTTAAAAAAATAAATTAATATCAATGATTTTCAGAATGAATAGAAGCATATAAAAGCGCGAAAAAGTGGTATAAAGGTGCTAAAATGCAAGCATTTAGAACTAAAAATAACTACACCTTTATCGTGAGATGCATACATGGTAATTTTCAACTTACTTTTATCAATACTGATAAGCTTAAGCTCACGCAAGAATTTCTCCACTTACCACGGCGAAATTTGGAACTGGCTGCTTTAAGGACCCATTAAAGTACTAAGAAATTAGACAGGTAAGAGTCTCTCCTATTCAGCTCACCTTTCTGTAAACTAGACCTTTTATGGCGCTACTGATTCTAATACCCTGTAGTTCACATTGGTAGGAAAAATGATGCATAGCGAAACAACCAACCAACGCGTTAATACCCATAGCCACTGCTAATGCGCAACCGTAGAGAAGATTATCTTCTTGTTGTTCGCCTGAAATTAGCATGGTAACCAGATATCCGAGAAACAATGGTGAAAGAAAGCAGGAAACTACCCACAAAACACCAGTGAAAGCCACAAAGAGGACTTCCTTAATAGAGAGCATCATGAAGATACTTTTCCAGAGTTTTGGCTTCGTCTCTTTTCTTTTGGATTTTGTTATCTCGTCGTTCCATTTTGTTTGGAGACGTTCTGTTACTGACGAGGTAGTGTTCTCGTTTGAAAGAGGTAAAAAGTCATTTTCATCCAAAGGTCGTTCACTGCCTGTCTTGAAGACACTGTTCATCCATTGAAAGAGAAGAAGAGACACAAAGCTGACTTTTTCTGCCTCGTCATCGCTGGGGATCTTCTTGTAACCATCATGTGCCATGACTCTAGATCAACAACCTGATAAAAAAATTCACATACAGATGTTACGCTTAGCTTTAAAACAATGTTACACTACAAAACAGTGCCACAACATTTACTACACAATGGAAGTCTGTATGATAAAAATTAGTGAACTAAAAATGTTTCGGACTCTCTCGTTACTGTTATCGCTGAACATAGAACTGTCGTACGAAGTTATAGCATACTGTTGCAAATCAAAGATTCTGACTGATAATTAAAAGATATCGTGAATTCACTCTTAATCTCGAATTGGCTCAATCTAGTCATGATTAGATAATATATTCTGTTGTTATGGTCTTGTAATAGCCATCTGTTTCCAGGAAACTATAAGAAATTATTTGATACCTTTTTAGTTTAGACTAACGGAAATATTATAACTTTTGACCTAATCAAATCAACTGCAAGTGGCGAGAATGTTGTAACAGCGAACAAAAAATTAAATAGTGATTTTTCCCAAATTTCGTGATTTCTTCCATTCAGCTTAAATGAGGGTTAATATAACTGTCACGGTCGCACTATCGCCATTAACCACATTTAGTCACGCTTCGTATATACGTTTTGAACTTGATTTTTGATTTTTTTTAAGTCAGTGTTCAACTCTTATCGTGTTTATCAGTTCGTATTGTTTCCTGGCGCTTCGTTTCTCTTTCTTGGAAAAATCAGCAATAAGATTCATGTTCCTTGCAAAGTTTTCGCCTTAATTTTCCATCGGTGTGTGTATGCCTTACTTCATCAAATTCTATATCTCTGTTGACGCTTTTCAAGCTTTCTGATTGGTTCATGCACTAAATAACGGTTACCAGCCATTATACCTGTGTTTCTCCGTATACGGAAAATGAATGCGGCAAGAGTAGCTTAGTTTAAAATGTTTCGCCGGAAAAGGGTCTGTCGGTGAAAATGAGTGAAAGCAGCACATTTGTTTAACTTTTTATCACGAAAATACAGGAAATAATGACAGTGCCATCCTGGAGACAACAACAACAACAACAAAAATTTTAAGCACGGAACACTTAATTGAAAGGGCCTATAAAGGTACAACGAAAGCGACTGAATGAAGTAGAAGAGCTGCAAAACGTTCACTGTAAAATCCAAAAACCAACACATTATCGTTCCAGTTGAGTAGGTAATCAAATGATTTTGAGTGCAATTTGGAATAAATAAGTTCGAGTAAATTTTTCTAAGGCTAACAGAAAAAAAATCATTTCGCTTTATGAGAGCTTTAAACTAAACAAAAGTTTATGTTCTATGATGATGCAAATCACGGACATCTGCTAGAGACCCAGTCAGTCCAGACAAATTATGCGTCTGCTGTCTTGTGAACTAATGCTCTTTGCTTCTTAGATACAAGCACACCATTAGTAAGGTCCGTTGGATGCTTCGTCATGGAATCCATGCCAGAGTTACAGGTAANTTCCTGGCGCTTCGTTTCTCTTTCTTGGAAAAATCAGCAATAAGATTCATGTTCCTTGCAAATTTTTCGCCTTTAAAATTTTCCATCAGTGTGTATATGCCTTACTGTATCAAATTCTATATCTCTGTTGACGCTTTTCAAGCTTTCTGATTGGTTCATGCACTAAATAACAGTTACCGGCCATTATACCTGTGTTTCTCCGTACATGGAAAATGAATGCGGCAAGAGTAGCTTAGTTTAAAATGCTTCGCCCGAAAAGGGTCTGTCGGTGAAAATGAGTGAAAGCAGCACATTTGTTTAGCTTTTTATCACGAAAATACAGGAAATAATGACAGTGCCATCCTGGAAACAACAACAACAGAAATTTTAAGCACGGAACACTTTAATTGAAAGGGCCTATAAAGGTACAACGAAAGCGACTAGATGAAGTAGAAGAGCAGCAAAACGTTCACTGTAAAATCCAAAAACCAACACATTATCGTTCCAGTTCAGTAGGTAATCACATGATTTTGAGTGCAATTTGGAATAAATAAGTTCGAGTAAATTTTTCTAAGAAAAAAAAAAATTATTTCGCTTTATGAGAGCTTTTAAACTAAACAACAGTTTATGTTCTATGATGATGCAAATCACGGACATCTGCTAGAGACACATAATCAGTCCAGACAAATTATGCGTCTGCTGTCTTGTGAACTATTAAATGCTCTTTGCATCGATACAAGCACACCTTTAGTAAGGCACGTTGGATGCTTGGTCATGGAATCCATGCCAGAGTTACAGGTAAGGGTAGAACTGACGATTGAAACAGATCACAACTCAAGAAATAATACGCTAAGACCCAAAAGAAAATTATTCGCCGTCAATTCAAAAATCGCTGGAGCCTTGATTTGGCCATGGGTCATTGATTAATTAAGAAATCTCCTTAAGTTTAAAACAAAAAAGATTCCTGTGGTAAGTATCCCATTACGCACTGCAACAATAGATGGTTTTCAGATCTTTTCACCGTCACGCAACGAAAAACAACGAAAACTATTCAGTGGATAAAGTCAAGAAATTGTAATGTTATAGGAGATTGGTAAAAAAGACATTTCTCCAAGTTTTGGGTCTCTGCGTTCTCCCAAACTTCGGATATTCGTCGAAATGTTTTGCGCAAATTTACAGAGCCCAGTATGGGGCCGCCGTGTTGTTGCAGCTCTGTGCTCCACCAATATGGCGGCCGGAAAATAGTGCAAACATCTGGAACTTTCTTCGGCTATCTAGTCGACTGATTATCTGGACCGAACCATAAAAAATTTACACAAGCACTTTTCCTAATACTTTATCTCCTAAAAAGACTGAAAATCACTAGGTAAGTGTATATTTTTCCACAAACGCGATCGGAGCGGTATTTCACTCACTGCCATAACTCTGAACTTCAAACTGCGCTGGTTTCTAAGCCAAGCACGCTATTGAGCTGAAAAGTTGTAAACAGATATAAGTTTAGATACCCTTATTCCTGATGAGGACAAAACCTTTCGTGGCTCTTAAGTTTTGGATTTTGGAATTTGATGACGTCACGTGAAAACAATCTATTTAAGTTATGGGAAAAAAATTCGGCGGGGTAGAGTGAAACGTTCCTCTGGGCATTATACTCAAACGGAGGGAGAGATTTGACGACATTCTTTTGGCAGTTCCGGTTCCTCTGCATTTGGTATATTCCTTAGGCCGCTCCAATCAACAATATCAAATTATTCATGTGGTTTGTTGACTTACATGCAATGTCGATAATTTATGCAGTGCGAATATCCATGATAAAAAAACACCACGGATACTAAACTTGTTGGGTCATTGTTCGTGTCCTGTCTTATGGTTAAGCAAGTTCTGCATTCTACACAACTTGAAATTAAAACTGCAGTGATGTATTTTCAGGTCTGCACTGCATGCTAGAAATGATCCATCTATAACTTGGTTACGGCTGGGATATATTCAAATTTACTCGTGCTGCAACTGAACGAAACATGAATGAACTAATGATCCATGCAATGCGAGAAGAACTTGCTAATTCCCTACCCAGTCTAGAAATTACAAGGAATGACGTGAAAATATTACAGTTCCTCCCAGGTGCGCCCAGGGCTCAGTAGGACAACAAAATAAAAGCAAAAAGCCAAACATATACACCGTTTGTCGTAAATTTCGCAATGGCGATCGTCTGCAAATAAAAAGGTAAAATTTCCCAAACTGCGTCCCTTGGGTATTTCAACATGACGCTACATCGCATTAAACTGTGCCACGTACATTTCTAATCATCAAAGTTCTTCACACCTGAAGAGTAAACTTTTTGCGTTCCGGTTGGTACATCGCATGAATTATAAAAATTATAAATGCAAACTGGAAATAAAACAACTAAAGGGAGTCAGAGACTGAGAGATCTTCACACTTCATCCCAAGTAAAGAAACTTGAATGAAACAATTATGAGAACAAACTGGCCCCAGCAGGCTTACTAAGTGATATCTTGCCTTAGACAGCACTACTCAGGTTGTATCGGCACGTCAAATGCGTTGTTAAAGGTTTTGTAAAGGTCGCCTTTGCACGCTTTTGAGGATCTGTGACGCGAATCAAAGATCATCTGTGAATAAACCTTT